TATATATATATATGTCGTCTCCCACGCTCGGCTCTGCTAGAGTTTTGACCCTTGTCGAACCCTAGCGACCCTTATCACATAAGATCTTCTCCGGCATCGTCTTTCAGTCCTCTCCGTTCTCCGTCCTCTCTTCGTCGTCGGCTCGCGTCTGCTAGGAAAAGTGGGAAAGCAACACTCTTTAGAAATTTCAACCCTAACTGACAAATTCAAGTTTGCTCTTATTGAAAAATTTCAGTGGGGGCACCCACCTATGGAAGTTATTAGGAAAGGTTTTGATGATCACAAATTAGCAGGAAAGTGAAAAGTGGGGCTCATGGATGGGAGACATGTATTGATTCAATTAACCATGGCTGAAGACTACACTCGAATTTTCTCCAAAAAATACCTTAGAATTGCTGTTAAATCAATCAAGCTACTCAAGTGGTCTCCTGATTTTGACCTCAATCATGAATCTCCTACTGTACCGGTGTGGTTCAGTCTATCAGGTCTCAAGCTGCACTTTTTTTATCATCAGGTTCTTTACTCTATTGGGGTCATACTTGGGGACCCTATGAAGCTAGATCTACTGAATTTCAACATAACCAGACCTTTTGTGACCAGAATACTTGTGGAAAGAGATATTACTTTACCTGATGTTACTGAAGTCTAGTTGGGCACAACTCATAATGGATATTGGCAACAAATCGTTCATGGAGGATAGACCGCCTTACTGTTCTCATTGTAAGATGTTTGGGCATACACTTGATAAATGTCATAAGTTTCATCGTAATTTGAAATCTAAAGATCAAGTGAATAATGATAGATCTAATCTCACTACTCTGGGCATATATGTTCTATCTTGAGAGAAAGCTACTACAGGACAGGTTTTGGATATCGCTAAAGATCAGCCACCTACCATCCCTACTGAGAAGGTGCAAATCGATCCTCTACCCAACATCGCAGTTCCTGATGACGAACATAATACTACAAGGAGAGATCCAAAAGTGCTTATACTACTCACTGTTATTGAAGAAGACTCACTTACATGTCAAGACACACGAGAGTGCACAAACAGTTATTTCTAATGTTCAACATCCTACACATGTCTGACACATTTTAGACCAATTCATTGATCAGGCGAGTCAATCTTCGAATGAGGAATGATAGGTCTATTCCAGGAGGAAGAAGAAGACTGGAGGCCGACTCGAGCTTGGAAACTTATTGGATGATACTTTGGTCACTACTGGCAATGGCACTCATCTTACCAATTTATTTATTAGTTGACTCCTTTCCTAGACCTAGAGGTAGAGGAAATGCAAAATTGGGTTGCTCTCTAGTTACTTGATACTACGCTTTTTTGGCATTTTTTGTTTTTTTTTTTCTTTAGATTTTTTGTAATTTTTTGTATTTATCTTTTTTTGGAACCATTTGTATGTGGTGGTTATCATGAAGGAAGGGTGTCATGCTTGGACCCTTCCACACAATCTATGTGTATCTTTATTTTTTTTTAATATATTAGTCTTTGGGTTTTCTCATATATATATATATATATATATATATATATATATATACAATTTTGATTTTGAAAAAGAAAATTTTTAATTTTGAAAAATGTGACTGAACAAATCTCATATATTCATGTTTCATCTCAAAAGTTGAGAATATCACTCGATAATAGTATCAATTATACTAATGAAGAAATTTATGATATTTATTTGGTCTGCGAATTTTCAACGGATCATTACCCTACCTAATATGAAGATTATGCGGGGTTTAGATTATCTAGGTTATTAATTTTACTATAGGGCAAGCCTCTGTAGTTAATTTTATCTTAAACGATTGAAATCACTTAAAAAATCTCTTGATTAAGATCGTGGCTTTATTTTCAAGAATCCAAAGTTAAGTTTTCACAATTGATCATAGGAAAATCAACTGAGAAAAAATCAATGTAAAACTGTTATTTATAGAATCCAAAAGAGCGAAAGGTAGGGGATATCATAAATACTGAGAAGACCTCAATGACTTCCCAAACTATCATATGGTTTGTTTTACATTATAGAAGCGATATTATTTAATCTTACTCCTGCAATCTATTTAAAATTTAGGGCTTACATTTGCACGACCTACAATTATGCAAATAGCCTAAAAAGATAGAAGATTTTATGTTGTACCTACAATCATGCAAACTAGCAACGAGATTGCTAGGACTTCACACTGAGCTATGAAGGTACATGTTGAAACACAAGGAAACAGCGGTGAAGCTATAAACCAATCTTATGATAAAGGCCAAGGTGCAAGAGGTCATTGGAAAATAAGCTAGGGTCTTTGTTATCTTGCGGAGTATAAAAAAAAAGTTTTTTTATTCAAAGTATTTAATGTGAGTGGATATATATAGAGTAATCAAAAAAATAAAATAAAAAAGTTGATAGATCTAAATCCTGATGTTTCTCGTCCAACAACCGATCCCAATTTTCTTTTATAGCATGAATTTGTGAGTCCCAACCATAGTTTTAAAAACTGGAACTGACCAGCCGGTTAGACCATGAATTGATCATTTAACTGGTTTGATCCAAAGTTCAAAACCTTTTCAACATAAAATCGGGATTGAACTGGTCAGATTTGGGGTTTAATAGGCCCAATTTTTACAAAACTGGTCGGTTGTAATATTATCCAATTTTAACTTTTTGATTTTGACCAAATGGTTAATAATAAAATATGTAAATTAAAAGAGGAGAAAATATTATATCTCAAAATCTTAAATTAGAATTTTATTTAAAATACTCAAAAGTATCTTAAATTAAAATAATATTTATTGATTCTATAAGCATCATTATTATATCGTTTAAATTATACTAAAAATAATTTTAATGTTTATTATCATTTGGTTCAACCTTTGGTTCCAATTTTACAACCTTAGTCCCAACATAGACAAATAACTGAAAGACAAGGCAAACACGAAATGCTGCAAATAAAATAACCTTCATCATCTTGTTCATGAGGACATTGATATCAATCTACCAAACTGCAGAACACTAGCTGTGGGCTGGTCGTGTTTGTTTGAAAATTCTTGTTTAATAGGTATAGTCAAACAGTCGTAATTAAAAGAGAACCAGGTCATAAATTCAAAAGTGCATAGCCAGCATAACTTGATGTTTCCTTTACGAATAAATAAGTGCATAGCCAGCATAACTTGATGTTTCCTTTACGAATAAATAAATAAAAACTGGCTCTTATTCTTTCGACTCTGTTACCGTGCTTCTAATTCCTGTGACAATATTTTCTTTCCTACTGTATTGCTTATAATTGTTTGTGATATCTTATTTTGAAAGATATATTTTTCGAACTCGAGTTTCCATAAATTCTTCTTGAATTTAGACCGGGTGGTGGGGATGAAAGTAAAGGCTTGACTTCGTTTTTTTTTTTTTTTTTTCTTTTAATAAATCACAAACCATGTGAATTCTATTTTGCAGATGAAGCTGGGCGTGACATGGAAGATCAGACACATGTAAGGGCCGTGTTTCTGACCTGGGCAAGTCTGCTAGCATCTTTGTCTCAAGACTGCACAAAAAGGATCCACATTATAGATCATCAGCTGGACGAATTGGGCAAACTTCTTTCGAAAATGCTTTTTTTATGCTTAGAAGAAGCCATTGTCTTCGCTAAATTAGTTTACGAAACTCAAATTTTCAGAACTAATGAAGGAGGAGACCAACTAAGATTGTTCTCAGTATTCCGACTGTTTACTCGTTGCATTCAGGATGCTTTATGTGATAGAAATAGACAGGTACTTTAAGACTTTTCTGATGATTTAAACCTTCACGAATGTTTTAATCGTAAAAAAAGAAAAATGTTCATAGACATTTTGAAACTTTGAAATTGCAGGTTCAGTCTATTGGACTAAATTTGCTTAAATTTGTTGTTCAAAGAGAACTTGCTGAACCCTCTAACATTAAGAGCAATCATTTCTTTTTGTTTATAAGCGGTGAAGTCGTTGGAGATATTTTTATTTTAATCCAGCATGAGTTGAAGGTAATTGATTTACAATTTTCTCCTTTTTCAAGTTCCAAATGATGAGCGAACAAATACTGTCATGCAGGAATCAGTAAGCAAGAAATCAATTTCTGTTATTGAGGAGTGTTTGAGGCTACTATTCCTCTTTCATACATTAGCACAAAGAACGGAGCAGCCCCAAGAAGTATTAAAGCTGCTTTTAGAAGCCCTATTAATGGTTTTTTATATTTCAAATGAAACTAGTTCTCAGGTAATCTTAACTTAGTATACAGCCAAGACATTTTTTCTTTTTTTTTTTTCTTGGGGCATTTACATACATAGCACACAATTCTGTTGTATTTACAAATCTCACACCTAAAGTATCATGTTTATGCAGAGCACTCAAATCTTTTATATCACATTAAAAATAGCACTATTACCACTTGTTAAAAGTGAGAAATCTTTTCGTGATTGAAAGCAGCAAAGCTATGTATATAAATATGAATATTTAGATGTAAGAGATGTATATGCATAAAAATTGAGTGCTACGTATGTAAATTTCCCTCTTGTTCTTTTTTGTGCTATGTTAGAAATATCATTATCACGCTGCAGGGATATCAAGATGTGAACGCCATTGCAAGGATACTTTTTGGCCATTTGATCCATATTCCTTCATCTGCCACTCATCTTAAGGATGTGATGCTATCAATGCCAGGATATCGCAGACAACAACTTCAGGTATTTTCAAGTTGTATGATACCATTCTAGAGCGCTTAGACGATATTTGAGAAGCGGTTTTAATGGGGAGATGGTTGTGAAATAGCAGGGGAAGGGGAATATGAGAGGTCTACGGTGTTTGGAAGGGCTGCAATGTGAAATCTACTGTTGGCCAGCAGATTCGACATCGATCGGCAACTGTTCTGGCTGAAAACAGTGAGGCAGATGATGAAACAGTATGTTACGGAGGTTTAGGAGGTTCCACCACCTGTTTCTGAATAAGATACGACACTTCATCACAAAAGAAAAGGATACGACACTCTGAAGAGCTTAAAAAGGATAACATCTCCAAACACGATAACAAAATCCGAAGTCTTCCAAAACATGAAAAACAAACATATAAATAGTTTCTTGCTAGAAAGAACTCTAATTAAAAAAAGGAAAAAGTATGAAATAAATTAGAGATGGTAAAATTCTTGTGAAATTTGGTAACGGGATGCTAATTGCTCGGTTCATTAATTTTGTGTTCGCAATATGGTTCCACATTGGGTGATCAATTCATGAAAAAGAGTGAACATTTTAGATATCTTGTTCAAAGTGATTGTTATATAGATAGGGATGTTATTAGTAGAATTCAAGTTGGATTGTTGAAGTGGAGGAATGCATCAGGGCCTTTTGTGTGTGGGCCTATTGTGTGATAGAAAAGTACTGGCTGAGACAAAGGAAAATTTTATAAGATGGTGGTGAGAATTGCAATGCTTTATTGCGCAGAAACATAAAACTAAGTTAAGTATTGTTGAGATGAGAATGCTTAGGTAGATGAGTGGTTTTACACAATGTGGAACGAATATATCTGTGAAAGGGTTGGTGTAGGTCGAGTGGCAGACAAAATTAGAGAGAATTGTCTTAGATGATTTGGTCACATTAAACGTTGACCATCTGATGTTACTGTTAGGAGAGCAGATATTTTAGATTTTAATTTTGGTCAGAAAGGTACAAGTAAGCATGTTGTATAAAAAATGATCTTAATATATTAAAAATTAAATGAGAATTTGACACTCAATAGGAGATAATGGAGAAAAAGGTTCATGTAACTGACCGCACTTAGTGGGATAAAGGCTTTGTTGTTGTTATTATTATTGTTAGTATGGATAGTTCCACAACTAGCAATATCTTGTGTCCACAGGATTGATTCTGATTGTGGAATCCTGCAATCACAGGGTTGCAGACCACGAGTCAAAGGATGAGAAACTTTGCATCATTGTAGCTTAACATTTTTCACTTCTAATTTTTGAGATAGTATATGATTTTCATGTAATAATCATACCTGAGAAAAGCGTCAAAATAGTCCCCTTGTTTTTTGCAAGGGTCATTTTAATCCCACAGTTATAAAAATCTCCATTTAGTCAATATGGGTTGAAATAGTCTCCACAATTGACTATTTCAGCTCTAATTTTAAGAGTATGGAGATTAATTTAGCATTTTTATAGAATCGGCGATTAAAATTGCCTCATGTGATGGTTAATCGCTTATTTTAGTACTTTACTAGATCACAGTTTATACAAACGAATTCTTCTTTTCTGAATAAGTTTATTTTCTCACATTCCTTCTCTTTTGTTTTTCGGTGCTTTCTTTTCTACAAATCTCAAAATTTTATGCTTAAATTTTAGGATATGCTACGGGCTTCCGTTGCTCAAGATCAAACAATACCAAATAAGATAAACATGCAATCAGACATAAAACCAAGAGAAGATAATCAATTGCATGAATCAGATGTCATGGCATCCCGAACTCTCAATCATGAACAGGATGCTGATGGGGACAAAAATGGGGATGATGATGATGATGATGAATGGGATGCATTTCAATCTTTACCATCTCAAAATACAGCTGCTCGAACGCTCGATTCGCACGATGAAAAAGGTGATTCAGAGACTGCTACAGCTATTGATCCTTCAGTAATAGAAAATGAAGGTTTAGCAGTAGAAGATGTGAGGGATACACTAAATACAGAGAGAAATGCGTCTGAAGAAGAAATGAAGCTGGGCACGAATTACCTCATTGATGCTGCAGACTCTAAGAATCCTGAAGGTGGTGAAAGTATAAATAATAATGGAGATAACAGGTCGCGGGAGTCCTCCTATCATCATTCTGAATCAGATGAAGCGTCCAATGAGATGTTCGACGCCCGTTCTTCGTTAGAAGGTACAGCCGACGAAATGATGGGAACTGAAACTGAAGCTGAAGGCTCTGTAAGGACATGTATCCTTCATGAAGAGGTGTCCATCTGAGGAAAATGAGGAAAATGAGGAAAATGATCGATAACAGATGTATTTTGTAAGTATTGAAGAGGATGTAGCTGAGACTAAAACCCATCTGATGATCATTTTCCAGCTTCATCAAAAGGTTGTTATTAAGGAAATTAGAAGCAAAAAATGAAGCTAAATTTGACAAGAAAATGAGTGGGAGTTAGTTAAGTTATTATGCTTGAAATCATCACATATGTTGAAGTAGTTGAATTGTATGAATTTATGATGCTGATTTGTTTGAGCGATAGGACATGAGAAAAAAGATTCATGCAACTGACCCCACTTAGTGGGATAAAGGCATGTTTTTGTTGTTGTTGTTGTTGTTGTTATATTGATTTGTTTGAGTAGTATTTCAAGTATTGGTTGGAAAACTCGGCGAGGTTGAAAATTAGATGATTCGTGAAATCAAATCAATATAATTTGGATAAACTATGTAATATGTCATGTTTGTTCTTAATCAAATTTTAATAAACAATAAATTTCAATTTTTTTCATTACTGAACGTTTAAACCAAATCAATTTTTGGTTCAGTCGTTTGGTTTTATTAAAATTTAGATTTGTTTGATTTTTGTTTTATTATCGATTTCAGTTCTAATCAATTTAATCAAGGTTAAAATTCCGAATCGACCGAATGCTCATCTCTATTTATGCATCTTTTGATGTTGATTTGATCAGACGGTCGAAATCAAATATGATTCATTTTTTTTTTTTTTGTTTTTAGATATTTCTGTAACTTCTCCATTAGTGTGCAGTAATACATTTCCGTCTAAAATTTAATTACAATCTATTGCCGACGTACATAACCTGAAACCATACTAACGAGGCACGAAAAAATAAATCAAATTTGATAAAATATCCGCCGAAGTTGCCTGCAATTAAGCAAACGTGCGAAATGGTAAATTGTCTTTTTTTCCCCTTAAAAAAATGCATTTTATGGTGAATACTTCTTTGATCCATGTTTATGCCAACATAATTTTTGTATAATAATAAATAGTTTCTTAATAGTTATCTTCTGGACGAGTGTTATTTTTTATTTTTTTAATGTATAATCCGACTGATGAAGATTTCTTAAACATAATAATTTTCAGCCCTATTTTGGTATAATTACAAACCAGCCACCCATATTTTGAGCAGTGGAATTTTGTAAATTTAAATTTGAATGAAGCGTTAGAAAACTAGAATATTCAAGTCAAATATGACAACTTCGTCCTGCAAAATGGATTAAATTCTATGTTCAAATATAAAAATTCAATTTGTTAAAAAGATATTGAATTCGAGTCCTTTAAATTAAGCTCAAGCTCAATAGAAAATTTTAAATAAAATTACGCTCGGCTCAACTAAGAGTGTTTAAGACAGCTTTCTGTGTACTTTGTTTTTCAGACCCAACAATATTTTTATTTTGGGAAATGCTTTATTGTTGATTTTTAAATTTTTTTTTATAATAGAAAATTATTTTCTTCAACCTAAACTAAAGTGTAGTATAACCTTTTAAAAATAAAATAAATTTATAGTAGTCACCGTTTTTTTTAAGCAGTTTCTTCTGTAACAATTTTACAGCTATTTTTTCAAAAAACTGCAACTGCACCAAACAGACCCTAAGTTCATTTACAACCCTAAAATAACAACCCCGTATCACAAATTGATGATAATTAAATATACAAACTATGAGCTATGTCTGAATATCCCTTAATATAAGAAATAGTTGAAACAGGGCAAAAAAGCCAGTAAAATCTAGGCTAGCTCTCTTTTAAGAGAAGTCAAAAGAAACCTAAACAACCATAAACTATAGCATAGAAAGTTACTAATACCATATACCATAAGGTAGGATTGAATTTTATCATTACTATTGCATATTTGTAGAACGTGGGATCCATACCCATGAGATACCTGTATAGAGAGGGGGAAAGAAGAGGATGTATGTGCTCTGTAGGCCTAGATTCTCCACTTTTCTTAATGATCTTCTCCCGGCAAGTCGAAGGAGAATCTAACTTCTTACAAGCCAGAGAAAGGGAGGAAGAGAGAGAAAGGCCCAGAGGTCGATTTTTCTCCTTTCTCGGGTTTTCCTTCCCTGTATACATTAAAAGAATAAATAAGTATAAAATTATGAGCCGTACAGTTTGAACTCTATCCACAACGACTTGCAGAAAAGATCGCAAAGTGAATTTCAGGCGACTCATAAATGATGATGGAGCATATATCAATCCCTTTAATGTTCATCTTTACTCCGACTTCTTGTAAATCCCATGAATCACTAGTCGGGGTGAACTTCGCAGGTAGGTCAAGGGAGCATATCAGCTCCTAGGAAGGTGGTAGCTAATACTTCAATCCGCCATATCAGCTCGACATGTAATTTTGATGGATTTGACAAGATATGTAATGAATCTAAAGCGGGCTACGAATTGTACAATCCTGCAAATATCCGTTAATTGAGAATGGGCATAAGAAAACCCATTTATTTATTGCGGGCCCTTGGCAGTCAATTATCCATATACAATTACAAAGTTAGGAGATTTATATACATATCACAACATTCTTATAAAATGCAATGTATGTAAGTGAATGCGCCTTAAATTTTTAGTCAAGATATATTATGAATCTATTACATTTGTACTGAGATGAGTGCAATACAAATATAGATTAATTATTAATATATTGCATTTAGCTAAAAGCAAATTCAACGGCATTGAAACCCATCATAACAAAAATTAAAATTTTTCTATGTATTTCTCTGCAGAGTATTACTACACTCGTGAAAAATTACATTTTTTTTAACTATCTAATCAAAATTGGAAAAAGTATCATGCACTTTTCCAAAAAAGAATATTTTTTTTATTGATCCCCCCAAGTTATGATGTGGCAAAAATTTTTGCATAAGTTTTTGCAAGTATACCATTTCTTTTTTGTGCAGATACCATATAATACATTGTATAGTTGTGCTACATAGTTGAGCATGGATGGATCTATCTATATGAATCCCTCCTATGAGAATCTTCAGTCAATTTCCCATAGATTTAAAGGCTATTCAGAAGACTTATTTCTAATGAAACTAAATAAGTAAAATATAGCAGAAGAGGTGGTAGTAACCTGTTTTCCAGGCAATCAACTCAGTAAACTCATGGAGCAGAAGTGTCTGCTGATGGTTTTCCAGTGCTTTCCGAGTTCTCAACAGTTGCGGCCGCAGCGGAAGCAGCAGCTTTCAAGCCCATTTTCTCCAGTTCCTTGCGAAAGCCATCAACAATATCCGCGCTTATTTTGTATGGAGTATGGGATGGACCTGGAAATACTCGATTCTCGACTTCGTGTTTGAAGTCTGAGAGTGATTTATTGATTATATCACCCACACGACCATACTGCTTACAAAATTTAGGGGTGACCTGTCAAGTGGCCAAAACATATTAAAGAATAGCTTACAGAAAGGGAGAAAAGGATCTAAATGATCTTCAGATTATATAAAAAGCTAAATTAGTCCCTAGTGTACTTGAATAAGGACTGAAATAGTTCACAGTTTTTGGGAAATTTACATACGTTGCAGACAATTCTTAGGTATTTATATATCTCACACCTCAACTTTCATATTTACATACATAGCACTTTGGTGCTTTAAACCTATGCATTAAAAGTTGTATTTCACTTCTAAAAAAGATGAAAAAAGTTCTATTTTATATGTGATATTAAAGATGAGTGCTATGTGTGTAAATATGAAAGTTTAGGTGTGAGATGTGTAAATACATAAGAGTTGTGTGATACGTAGGTAAATGCCCAAAACTTCTCAAATGGGAACTAAAAAGTCCCATAAAGAGATTAGTTTAGTTCCTATATAAATATTCTGCAGGATAAAATTGGCCTTTAACAAATTATAGAATTATACCAGCCCCCTGCAAATAATCAGGGCACCATTTTAGCCTTTTCTACAAACAGAGATGTAGCAGGTTATAACAAAGAACATGGAAACATTGATGTTAACCTTTGCATGGTGAGGGTGTTGCAGCATTCCTAACAAGTCATGGTAAACCAGCACCTGCATGCATTGGACTAAATTAATCTTGAAATCTAGAATACATAATGATTTTTGCTAAATCATGTTTAATTATGGTTAGTATTGATTCATGATTTGACTAAGGAGTGTGATTCGGGCACTAACTAGAAGCATTAAACAGCCAAGTTTGTACTTGAAAATCTAACAAAGTAGGCAAAATTATAAATAATAATGGAATCGCCCTTTTATGGCAAAAAGTTTACATCCTGCTCCTTTTACAATTTTCTTAAAAATGCTAAAAGGCCACTTGTTGGTGAAAATATAAAAAATAGTTGAAAAATAATTAGAAGGATGTGCACATTATATCATGCACAACCACCCTGCTGCTGTGACTTGTGAGAATAGTTCAGTTCAGCATGAGTGTCCGTTTACATATTTGAATTCAACCTCCTATAGATAAGGCTGCAAGGTAGCCGCAATTTCATCAAGTGGGCATAAGAAAAAAATTGGGAAAATTTATAATTTACATACATAACACATAATTGTTATAAATTTACATATCTAACACCAAACCTGTCCACTGCAATACGGTCCTGCACCAATGCCAATAGTTGGGATTTGTAAGGCAGAAGTGGTAGCAGCAGCCACAGGCGCCGGCACACACTCAACCACAACCGAGAAGCACCCAGCCTCCTGCAATGCAATAGCATTTTCCACAACCTGTAAAAAACTTTCGGTCATTCCTCAATCAATCACACAAAAATAAGAAAAGAAATAAATAAATTAGGGGCTGTTTTGTTAGAAAACATCTTGGTGCGAAATGCAGCAATTAAAATAAACTTATAAGCAATATTTCTTAAAAACACCCCAAATATAATATTTTTTCAGCGCATATCTCATAAAATTTAATAATAAGCAAAAAATTTACAAAGAAACGTATCTTTCTTTTCTTTTGTAAGCATTGCTTATATGAGTTAATCATGTGAGGGACTTGTCGTTATATGAATTATTAAATGTAATGAGTAGATTGATGCTTTTTATGAGCCATGCAGTTCATATGTAGTTTATGAGTATTAGAGGTTAATAAGTAGTTTATTATTTTGTAATAAAATTATATTACAGGTATAGAAGATCGTCAAAAATAATTAGTTTTTTTTTTATTGTGAGTGCAATTCTAAGAATAATTAGCAGAATTATTATTATTTGAATTAGTGTTTGAGTTAATCATTAAAGTTATAGTTATTTCAGTTGGGTGAACTCAAAAGTAGGGTTGTCAAAAAAGCTCGTTCTTCGCGAACAACTTGTGTTCGGCTCGTAAAGTATCTCATGTTCGGCTCGTTCGTTAAGTAAAAGAGCCGAACATAAACAAGTTTTTAAAGCTCGAATTATAAACGAGCCGAACACGAACAACTCTTTGTTTGCTCATGTTCGGCTCGTTTTAGCTTGAAATAAAAAATTTATATAATAATAAATTACATATATTATTTGTATAATAATATATTATATATATTTATATCTAAGTTTAAAACATAACTACTTGTGTGGTAATATGGTTATGCGTCTTTTTTTGCATACATTTGATCCATTTTCGAATCCAGCACTCTACATCTATTTTTTCAGTTTAATTTTAACGAGTCACGAGCCGGTTTCGAACACGAGCTTGTTTCGAACAAGAACAATTTCGAACGAGCCTAACACGAGCCAAGCCCGAGCTCGCTCAAGCTCGGCTCATTTACAGCCCAAGATCACACGAGCAAAAGTATATTAACACGATCAATAAAATATGATATTTGATTTGTTAGAATGAGTACAAGAGTAGTACAAATGATACCTCTATCCATGAACAACTTCACATAGATTAGGATTTTAATCCGTCTCCACTTATAATTGTATTACACAAATAGTAAAATGTAAATATTGATTGTGCTTAATTAACACACTAATCCATTTTTTATGCTCATCACATCCTTTTTCTATGAAAATAATCACTTAAAACAAATTTGGACTGGATTTTATAGATTGCACAGTCACAGTACTAGCAATAACAACCATTGATGCAGATAAAACTGCAACTACAAAAAAGGAGAAAACGGAAAAAATAGCAAAAAGCATGAAAAGAACCTTGACAGCGCTGCAAATGGTCTTCCCTTGCGGCCTGAACCCACCAAGAACACTAATGGCTTGAGGAGTTAACCCAACATGTCCCATAACAGCAATCCCCGCCTCCACAATAGCCTTTGCCGCCGATATCATCGACGGCGCCCCTCCCTCAAGCTTGATCGCGTCCATGCCCCCTTCTTTCAAAACCCTAACCGCCGTATTGACCGCCTGCTCCATCTCAATCCAAAACAGAATGAAACCACCACCAAAAGAGGAGATAAACAGCAAATCAAGAAAGATCTAGAAAACCTGGGAGGAGGAAGACTCGTAGGAGCCGAAGGGTAGATCGCCTACAAGGAGAGGTCGAGATGCTCCCCGCGCAACTGCGCGGCAATGGACGAGCATCTCATCGAGGGAGATCGGGAGGGTGGTGTCGTGACCGTGGATGACCATGGATGCAGAGTCGCCGACAAGGCAAACATCAATGCCGGCGACATCGACGTGTACGGCGGAGGGGTAATCGTAAGCAGTGACGACGGTGATTGGTTCGGAGCGGCGGTATTTCTGCCGGAGCTGGTTCAAAGTCACGCGTTGCCCCTCTAATTGCGGCTTCGGGTAAACGGTGTTTTCCGGCATGTTGCTCAGAAGCCGACGAGCAAACCGCAGCATCTCCGCCGCCGATGAGGAAGAAGAAGAACGTGAAAGAGTTCTGAATGAAGTGGGGATGCTGAACACTGATACATGTATTTGCCGAAAATTTTAGATAGAAATTTTTTCGAGCCGATTATATATATATATATAATGTTAAATAAAACCGAATATAATGAGCCACGAACTAAATATTGAGCAGATTTCGAGCTGTAATGGAATCACTTAACTCAAATTGAGCCAACCCGTTTCAATTTCGAGCAGAATGGAGATGAGTTCAAGTTGGAAAGAATCCAAATAACACAATTTAAGCCAGCTTGTTTAGATTTAGTACTGACTCGTAATGAAATATAACCCATAAGCCGATTTCGAGCTTCACTCAATCCATTCGAACAGCTTTCAAATCAAACTTATCTCGAAATCAGATCGGCAACAGTCATTTAATATTAATACTAATTTTATAAATATTTTAAATAATATGACTAAAGTTATTTATAATTACTTCTGGAGAATAGAGCTTTCGCCGCCCATTACACTCCAATGACAGAGCTGAACTTTTTGTTCGGCTTTATTCAGTAATTGGGCCGTTTTATTTTATTTTATTAAAAATCAAATAATCTAAATAAATCGCTTGTTTTCAATTTATTTTTATTTTTATGTTATATTATGACAAAATGAAAACTGTGCAGTTTTATTTAATATAAAAAACAGGAAATTAAATTAAATTAAATTAAAGACGCAGTTTTATTTAATATAAAAAAACAGGAAATTAAATTAATTAAAATAAAGACTTAAAATTTAATTTTTTTATTTAAATTTTATACTCTGCTGTATTAAATTCTATATTTTAGCTCGTAAAAAAAATTAAAGTAGACTTCGTATCAAAATTGGCCATTTTTTTGTGTTTTCAAATCAATTATTTTGCAATATATTAATTATAATTATTTATTTATTTAAAATATATAAAATAACACTTAATTTTTTTATCAAATCTTAATTTATATGTTTTTGTGAATCAAGAAACACTAATTTATATATTTATTTATATTTGAATTAATTTATGCAATTATATACGAAAATATGATTTTATGTTTACAAATCTATATTAAAAAATGTTAATGACTGTTGGTCTAAGAATTTGTGTTTAGAAGTCTAAAGTTGTCAAAATTATATGTTTATATATATATACATTTATTTTTTTATTTTTTTTTGGGCGTAAGTCATAGTTAGTGAATTTTATTGGGTTCAAATCATGATCAAATCGATTTCTACATCCAAAAATAAATCTTCAAACCAATAGAAAAGCACGTTTCCCCTATGTTCTGGTCCTCTGGAGCATCGATCCTAACCGGATCAATCATAGATGCTAGCTACATCTTCGAAGGTGACAGCTGCCAGATTTACCTCTCAAAAGGTCAAGTGAGTTCTACTGATTCAACTCGATGGTATTATGTATTCAAACGAACTTCTCCGACCAAGTTCACCTACACTTCTCAAGCTCTTCTATCAGCTCACGGGTGCCTAGTGAACTCACCGACCTGGCTCGCATGAGTTGATCAAGTTCATAAATTATCCTTCATGATAGTATGAAAGAAATTCAGTTTCATCATCGTCCATGACTGCTTATTGGTCTGATGATGACGGCCATGCCTATGATCTTATCAATGGTGAGTCTTCACATGCTCCATACAATACCACATATAATATAGTATTTGTTTATTTTTTGCTATTTTGGGAGGGCAAGTACATTATGAGAGATAAATAAGGAGCAGAAAGAAATGTTGGACTCTCCCCTCTTCTGAACCACTATTGATAATGACACACGTTAGGAAATCCCCAGCTCCCTTTTATCTCATTTGCAAGGTCTATTCAAGATTGAATGAACCCACGAATAATACGGGATTCTACATCCTAAAGAGATTCAACATCATGAGAGGCATGGTAAGCGTAGAGTTCTATAAAGAAGATATTTGAGATGAAAGAGAAGGAAGAGTAATCATAGATTGCATCCGAGAAGTTTTGCCCAAGAAATGCATGACTTAAGAGACAAATGCATAAGATGATAGAAGAAAGGAAGGCACGAGGTATCAAGTATTCGATCTAAAGGTCATTTGAGAAGTCGTACAGGATCGATAGCACAAAGATGAGAACCTCAAAGACATCAACTATTAAGAGGAGAATTACTACTAACCAAATCAAGAAGGGCCTTGGCTTTGATACTATAAGAGGAAGAATATGATGATGAAGTATTGTATGTCCCAGGAGAGGAGACTTCATAATCCTCAAATGATGAAGAGAGAAGCAGAAGAACAAGGAGAAGAAGGCCACTAGAAAATGCCTTCTCAAGAGAATTTGTTGAAGTGGAGCCCCCGGAAAGCTCAATATAGAATATATCTCATCGCTCAAGTAGCATCCTTTAAATCAGCAATGTGTATGTTCTGGATAAATGATGCCCTTAAAATGCCATTTGTTCCTTATGACATTCAAAGAGTCACCCTAGTGATGGTTCAACAAGTTGAGATGAGTCATTACTTCCTTTCACGAGTTCAAGCGAATGTTTCTAACTCAATGCATCAGTGCACAGAATCCATACAAAGCTTCCAAACTTCACTGAAAATCTGGCAAGCTCCGTCTAACAGTCTAAAGAGATCTATCATTAGATTCCAGAGGTAGATGCTCAATGTTTGAGATCTTGAGCCTTCCGTTGCTCATGCAGCACTCACATAGGTCCACATGAATGCCCATTATAATATGCACTTGATTTGCAAAAGCCAAAAATTTTGGTTGAAATATTGGAGCTAACAACCATATTTTGGCTTAAGAATACAACCCTTTGTTGAAAATTTATAGAGCAAGAGAGCCAAAGGATAAACTCAGAAAAAGAGTCTTTCGTGAAAACCGAGGGTCATGAAATCAATTCGTACTAAGGGAACATTGAAGTGTCCCAAAAAGAATTCCTTTAAAACAAAATCAATCAGAGACTCCTGACTAAAGGCTTGTCGCAAGGAGACCGAGGAGGCAGGATGCACATCAACCCTTCACACTAAAAAATCACTCTGTTGAGAGTGCGATGGTTGAAATCTTAGAGGCCATCCAAAACAAAAAAAAAAATTTAAGAGACTCTCACTGATGAAAACAAGAAATTTTCAACGCAATCTTAATAAAAACCACGCTTATCATCGTGATCATGGGCATAACACTAAAGAAATTCATCATTTTCAAAACTTGGCCGAATAGTTAATCTGAGCGGGAAAGTTAAAAGAGTTCATTGCGCTAGAGACCAACACACAAAAGGAAAGAAAAGCGCCCGTCAAGACTAATTCTAAAGGACCCATCACTGGCATAATCATACATATCATCTGAGTCGTAACCTCCACAGGTTTGAAGCATTGCGATATTCAAGCTTGAAGCAATTTTGAAGACATCCATTACATCAAACAGGCCTAAAGCCATAATTAAGATTCATCCACCGATCACCTTTGCAGAAGATAACTTATCTAACGATAATAATCCTTTCAATGACGCTATCGTCGCCATCGTGATGATAGCACCAAAGTGAAAGCATTCTGATTGATAGAGGGAGCTCAGTCAATTCTCTTTGAAATGATTTGTGAGCAAATGAATATGATAAGTGCTCAACTACTACTGAGACCATCGAGCAAGTGCCCATCTCCAAGGGGGGATGTGAGATAACATTTCTGATTAGTTCTAATCCCAAGTCAATATCAAAGTCAATATCAAAGGGAACAAATTATCTAAATCCTGAGAGATCACCGTGATATATTCGTCTAGACTACTCATTAAATTTCAACAGTTCAATCAACATTGCTTATCATCAGCTCAACATCAATCCCATCGGCAAACCCATCAAACAAAAGAAGTGAACTTTCTTTTCATCTTCATTGTATTAATTCCTTCGTGCCAAATAAAATCAAAGAAAACAAGCAATAAGAAAAAACCAATAATTCAGAACGCACCTAATATCTTCGAGGATTTACACAGATACCATTCAATTGTTTTTGTAATTACATATCAAACATACATGATGCCACCTTCCCTACACATATAAAAAGTTTAAATGTTGGTATAAATGTAACAATTAAAGTTTAGGTGCCTTTAAAATAGTTCAACAAGAAAACAGTAACAATTATAAGGAACAGGAATCATTAAATCAAAGGTGACTTTAACAATGGTTCCAAAAATAATAAAAATGAGTAGAAAAGAAACCAGGAGGAGGACTAAATGAATAGAAATAACCCAAAACACCCCCAACAATCTTAAGCAAAAAACTGCTCCATAAACTCACCAAATTAAATATTATTGTTCAAAGATCACCTCCTTCAATGAAGATCCACAAGATAACCTGGCAGAATTAATAAAATTAGAATTTACTAGAAATTAGTTTAGAATTCAAACTCTATAGATAACATATATTCATCAACACATAAATAACAAAATATTTTAATGATAAAAGAGACAATTTATAATAAAAAACATAAAATCACTCAAAGAACATACTAGCCTAATTAGTCAATGTCCAAAAGGGTAATGTATCATCAACAAACATACATAATTTTCTATTTATAATAAGAAAGTTTCAAACAAGAATTTCATAATCAATATAACCAGTGCTAGTTTCAAAATAAAACATGATTTGCATTAAGAAGAGTTGTTATGTTTAACTGAACTAGCATGCTAGGAAATAAATCTTTCGACCATATGAATCAAATCAAATTTCAAGAATTTATGCAAAAATTAATCAAGGCAAAGCTATCGAAAATATATAATATAAATATATGAAACATGTGCAATAATAATTAAATACGAAAGCATGCTAACAGCCTCAAAAATATCTAATAATCTGAGCATTAAGGATAGCGTTCAAAAAAATGTATATACTAACTACCTAATTCCTATGTATATCTAACACCTAAGTTTTACTCTCTTTTTTTACATTTATACAGCACAAATATTTCATATAACATCAAAAATACAGCACTTGTAACTTTTAAAAAGAATTGATGCGTGCAGGAGAATCCGAGGCGATAATGATTATTTATAGTACTAGAGTTGCAAGAGAACCCAACACACATTAAGATAATATAAATGATGTTCAGAAACATACATGGAAAAGCCGAGAAGAGAAGAAATCCACTATAAATTGAAGGTTACACGTAAAATCTCGTCCCGCATACGAAAAAAAGTGACGCAATCTTTCAACTTACAATGTCACAGTGTGCGAAGGATCTTATTGGAATGAATGGGCGGCGGCCGATTGTAATCAAAGGCAGCCGGCAAGTGGTGGTCGGCGGTGCTTAGTTGTGATCGTCAACTGCAGGAATAATGTTGAACTTCAACTCTTTCTCCAAGCTTCAAGCTCTCTCTTCAGACTTCAAGTTTTCTCTTCAAAATTCAAACTCTTATTTGCTCTCATGAGAGGGGTGAGGCTCTATTTATAGCATCCCGATTGCAATTACCGAAGTAATACGAACCACTTTGATTGAACGGCTCAGAAGACTTCTCTCAATCAGACAATGTTTGATGCACATTTGGGTGCCTTAACGATGTACAAATTGAGCGATCTTAGGTTCGTTGAATTCGTCTTATCGAGATGTTTGAATCGACCATAAAGTCACCAGATTGGACATCCATTTGACTTTGCAAATATGCCTGAAAAGCTTCCAAAAGTGATTGGTTTAATGACTTGATTTGAGCTTGATTTGACTCAAATTCAACCAATTTTGGTATCATTTGGTTTGTCTCATCGAGTCGGTCAGGTTGACTGTAGAATTGTTGAAATTAGAGTTCTGGATTACTCTTAATCGAAATTTGTAAATTTCTTGCTCAAAAAATTATCTTGATGTACGTGTAATGCCTCGAGATTTATGCAGGATAATGGAAATTTATTGATGGTGTATCAAGAATAATACATATTTCATGCATAGGTAAGATGGAATGTATGTGAAAATTGAAGTTTAGGTGTTAGATATGCAAATACATAAGAATCAAATGGTATGTAAATATTCCGAAAAAAAAATTATCCTCTAATAAATAAAATGCTATTTACTTCCGATTTTGGAGCACTCAAAAGCACACCCTGGGGTCCAACTTGGCAAAACCAAACAAATAGGGTTGTAAATGAACCAATGCACTCGATGAACAGCTTGAACTCGACTTGATTAAGGCTCGATCATGTTCGTTCAAATTAGTAAATAAACAACCTTAAGCAATTTTTAGAAGCTCGAAGCTTAAATGAACTAAACATGAACGTAATCAAACTCGTTCGTTTATGTTCACGAACAAGCTCGTTTGTCGTTCAACAGGTAACTTGTTAAATATTCGATATTAAGCTTCATAATAACTCGTATTATATAAATGATATATTATTTATAAAATATATAAATAATTAAAATTTATTGAATTATAGATTTAATAGTAATATATTATTATATCAAAAATATTTTTAGTTTAACCATTAATTATACATTTATTTTTTTAATATGTGAATGGTAATTTAGAATGAGATATTTACAGTTAGAGAATGACAAGATTTTTCTTGTACACTTTTCATAAACTTGAAAATAATAAGTTCATTTTTTTATAACTATCACACTGCAATTACAAACAACATTATTGTTATTATTTACTTGTTAATATACTAAAGTAAATGAGAATCCCTATAGCTTTTATAATCAATTTTGCTCTTCCACTTAAACAATTTGGACTATTGTAGTCCTATCAATAAAAATTATATAGCTAATTAGTAAGGTTCAAAGATTACAAAATTCATAATCGATAAATTAGTAGTTGCGATTAAATTTACAAAATTATTTCTTAAATTTTTTATATGAAAATCTAAATTCTCGTTTAAATTTTTAGCTCATTTAAATACATATTCACTAGTTATAAGCAAATCAAGTACAAATCCAAGTTCGAATATTGAAAAAATTAAACAAATCAAGCTTGAACAATGTGTGAAAGCTTGACACAAGCTCAAGACAAACATAAACAACTTATAATTATACCAAGCCAATTCTGAACAATGATATACTCAACTCGGCTCGGCCCGATTACAGCCCTATAGACAAGTGCTAACCAGAAATTTCTCACATTGCAAAGCAAGGAGCATAAGGGTTATTTGGGATCACATTTGTTTTAGTTTTTATTTATTATTTATATTTTTGTTTTGTTTATATTTTAATTTGAATTAATACATATTTGGTTATTATAGTTGTCTTTAAAAGCACTCAAAACATATTCTAGGGGTTTCGAATGTCTTTAAAAATAAGATAATTTTTTCTTAAAAACAAAAAATAAAAATATTTAAAATTATACTGATCAGATATTTAAAAAAAAAATAAAAACAAACAAAAAATAAAAGCGATGTCAAAAGGGTCCATCGTTTCTTTGTACAGAATATGCAAAAAAAAAAAAAATATGTTTCTAGTGCTACTGCAGATCCATAAGCATTTTCTAGTTATAAAAAAGCGGTATAAACATTTCAAACTACAATAACAAAAGAAAAAAGCATTCCAGTTATTAAACAAATAAGTAATTTTATCTTACTTGAAATAGAAGGCCCTCTAGCCACATCACACCACTGGAGTTAGCAGAGGCTTTTTCAGCACATGAGCCTCCAAATTCCAAATAACCAGGTCCGCCATTTCCTTCCGAGTCTCCACCGTGCCACTTCCGACATGAGGTAACAGCACCACATTGTCAAGCCCGAAAAGCTCCTCTGGGACTTGAGGTTCATTCTCGAATACATCAAGCCCTGCCCCTCCCAGTCGGCCTTCAACAAGCGCTTTAACGAGCTCAGGCTCATCCACAAGAGGTCCACGACCGATGTTCACAAGGAAGCCGTTAGGGCCCAAAGCATCAATAACCTCCCTATTTACGATGTGGAAAGTGTCATGGGTGAGAGCACAAGCGACGAAGAGCACATCGGAGTTTGTTGCCAGAGATATGAGGCTTGGGTAGTATTTGTAGTGCGTGTTTGGCTTCTCTGTTCTCGAGTGGTAGCCAATAGTACAATTGAAGGCTTCAGCTCTCTTGGCGATTGCTAAGCCAATCCTGCCGAGTCCGAGAATGCCAACTTTTTTGTCACTGAACTGCAGGATGAGATAATCCGCATTTTTAGTTTCATATAATTTGACATCTAGCACCTTTATGTTCATACATAATCTTGACTCAATAAATAGAAAGTGAATAATAAAATCAATCAACCTAGTGTTGCTCTAAGATTATTGCCTCCTGTTATGATATGCAAATCGAGTTTCTTTTTTTTTTCCGTCATAATCAAGTAGTCATCCTCAGTTTTATTTTCATTTTTCAAAATGTTATTGGCAGTAAAAAGATTCATAACTTTGCATCATAGGATGAAAGCTAATAATCTTTCAAAAAAGTGCAATACTCATCAATACATAACATAGCAAATCTTTCTGATGCTTGAAAAATTATAATGATTACATGAAGCTAGTAAATTTAAGGCACGGAAATATTGATGTTATAGATTTTAGTGTGTCATGTACCAGGGTGTCAGGTAATCATAATTTTAGTCTTCATAGTAAATTTAAAAAAAAAGGTAAGAAAGATGCCTAATGAAAATAAAACAAGTTTCTTACTTTAATTTACTTAAGACTCTTCATAGACTCCATCCAAGACTCATAATACGACAACATCCTGATTCAAACAGTCATTTGATTTATGTTTTTTTTTCTTTTTCCAATCACAGATTTAACAGAGTAAGTGTCATTAAAATCTGTTAATTCACAGTAAATATCGCATGAGGTCAAACAAACGAAAAAGTTTTGCAAACCAGTACGTATCTGGTAATGATAGAGCCCATGAAAGCCAGTTAAATTTGGTTAAAAATAAAAATAGAAACAAAAACCAAAATTGATCTCAAACATGTCCTAAGCTTGTGTCAGATGCCCTTAAAAAGCAACGCAAATCAATATCCATTTCCCAAGTCCTCGAGAATTTTACTAACCCTTCTTCACAGCAGTAAGTAAAGATACCTTTATTCAATTCCACCTTAATGAGTGGAGATACCCAACACTAATATTATAAAGAGAGAAGCCTATAGTATAAGCTCATAAAGCTCTAAAAGAAAAATTACTAGTTGGAGGGCTATATTATAAGAGAAAAGGGAAAGGCTTACGATAAGAGAATAAAAGAATAAGCATGTATTTTGTATCTTAAATTTCTCAATGGGGTATATAAATCATCAGGATGTGTAAAACATACATCTAATTTTCTCTTTTAGTCGTATTATCCAACAGAAAGAAAAAGTATATAATTTTGAGTTCAGGATGATTTTATGTACAATTCTTAACTATGCATATGATTAATTCATTTCTGAGCATAATTTATTGTATGCGTGATTAGACAATATACATACGATCAATAAAGTATTAAGGAATCTTAATTCAATGATTAGAGAATACTAAAGTTCCACAATTGCTAGTTCAATAATAATCTTCAACGTAATCACATCATCCATATGATTGTTGGTAGGGCTGTAAATGAACTAGTGCACTCAATGAAAAAGAACTCGAATCGATTAAGACTCTATCATGCTAGTTCAAATTAGTAGATAAACAAGCTTGAACAATCTTTTAAACTCGAATCTTAAATGAACTAAACATAACCATAGTCAAACTTGTTCATTTATGTTCATGAACAAACTCTTCTGTTGCTTAAGAAGTAACTTGTTAAATACTCGATATAAAGCTTGAATATAGATCGTATCATATATGATATATTATTTAAATAAAATTTAATTTGCTAGAACTTATTTAATTATTAATTATTAATTATTTGAAAATTAACAAGATAGAGTTCTAAAAGTGAACATCACATTTGTTCATTCTTTTTTATTGTGCTTGATATGACCGCCTTTGATTTTTTGAATTATTTTTACAATTAATGAATGGATTCACATTATGAGTTTGTAATATTAGTTCATTTATTTTTTTTTCTCTTGTTTCAATATTTTTCTCTATCTTAAAATTCATTCTTGTGAGAATATATCTACTATAAACACTAGATAACAACATGTGGGTTAGTTTGTTTGTCTATATGATTTATTCAATTATTTATTTATTTAGATTTGTAAAATTTATATTTTTTATATGAAAATCTAGATGCTTGTTTGAACATTTAGTTCGTTTAAATACTCGTTCACTTGTCATAAACAAATTAAGTACCAAAAAAAGTTCAAATTTTGAAAATTTTAAACAAGTCAAGCTTAAACAATATGTGAAAGCTCGACACAAGCTCAAACCGAATATGAACAGCTTATAATTGTACAAAGCCAAGTCCAAACTATGATATACTCGGCTTGACCCGGCTCGATTACAACCCTAATTGTGGGAACCCTAATTGTGGGATCATACGTACAATAGAGATCACCCCGTGTAAAGATTTTCTTTAAAAAAAATTAATATGAGTAATATGCATAGAAGTGCGTACATTGGCCATTCATTCAAGCTTAAAGCATTACAATATTATCTTCATTCAATAAAAATAAAAAATAAATTTTAAATATCTGGAAGCCCTGAATTTGCTTAAAGCTCTTTCCGTTATTGAGTCCTTGATATTTAATAATGCATGAACTAATGAAAATGCCCAAATTTATAAGAAATAAATGAAAAAAATGGCTTGAGCGGGAGTTTATTAGAAAGGATTTCAAGCTTGGACCAAAAGTTTATCGAATGATTCACAATTAAAAATTATTTTCAAGAAAATTAAAATCCACATGATCTAGTCCATTCACTGTAGTTAAAATTTACCCCTTTTGGAGTTGTTGATATCGAGAACAGGAAAAACTAGCAATGTTTTAAAGGATAATGGACAAAGATTGGAAATTAAGGAGTGATAAGATTGGTCCTAGTGCAATCATCTGGCCAAGAACATTAAACCAAACATTTTTTTGGGAGGTAACCTATGTGTCATCTTGATGAATTTGATTGTGTTTTCTTTAGCTGCTTTATTTTGATGTAGTAGATTGTGTGTATGAGTTGAGGAAAATTTAGGACGTATGGATTTTCAGCCTGGGCACCAAAACGCTTGACCCTAAAAACCCAATGTTACCTCCTTTCGTCTAGTGCTTAAGCGCTTGGCTGTGGAATCCCAGTGCTATCCCTTTTGTCTGAGCACCTCAGGCTTGCATGGGTGCTTAGGCACAAACTTTTGTCATATATCTTATTACGTAGATTTTGATAGGCACTTAGGCACAACAAATGGGAAACTTAGCGCCGCTCTTTTATTTACTTAGTTTGCCCTCTTCTAATTCATTTAACTTCAATGTTTTGTTAAGTTTCCCTAGCTGACAAAACCGAGAAATCCAAAGGTTTTCTTGGGCTTTGAGGTGAGATCTTTTCATATTTTATTTCCATTTTGTCGACTCATTTGGCTAAATCGCATTCTCCTTCATTTTCCTTGTGATCCATGGCCCCTAAACACAAGGGAGGGAAATGCCTCACCACATTTGACTCTAAAAATTTTGTTAGAATTTAGACAAAAGCTTGTTACAAAGATTTTTTAGTTTCTAAAGAACTCATTCTGGAGAGGGGATTCCTAAACCCTGAGGGTGGGGTTGAAGCATTAATTTCTAGCTATGATACTTATGAAGTTTTATGCAAATTTAAAGAAACAAAAGATGAGAATGTTTTTGTCAAAGGGAAACAGATTGATTTTAGTTCCACCAAAATCAATTCGCTTTTGAGCATCCTAACATACCTGACGATGAATACTCTAGTTTCACACCATCTGATTCTGATATTATTGAAATCATTACTTTTATACCCATAGCAGCTGACACATTAATGACAATAAAATAGTTAATTTTCATGTAGTTGCTTTGATGCCAAGTCGTAGACCTGACATTCTTTAATTCATACGAAACTCCTCCCACTACAACTATCACTACGGTTACCGAGGAAAGAGTAACTCTGAATTATTTTATCCATCAAGAAAAATTCATTGATGTAAGGAATATAATCAACAATTCCATTTTCAATATTCTTAAAGGGGGAAAGACTATGGTCATGAGAATCCTCAGTGATTTTCGCTCTTTGATTGAAGTTTGGAGAGAAATTTGAAGGTTTAGAGCAGTTATACCCCAATATAGTCATTACAAAGAAGACCATTGGTACTTAATGGAGGACTTCCTTTGAGATGAAAAAACTCTTCCAAGCCTCGACCTACTTTCAGTTATATTTCTAAGAGATTAGATACTCTGAGCGATGATGCGGCCATTATTCAATAGTAACAGCATGATATGGGTCAGAGATTAGATTTTTATATTGATCAACACGATCGTAGATGGCAACGAGACTTTGACAGAAATGTTCTGACACAGCCAGATGCACCAGAGGACCAATGATTTTCAGTTTCTTGACGTGCCACCTTTTCGATTTTATGAAGATACAACAGAGCAAATGGAGGAAGATGATGAAAATGAAGAAGATGATGAGGGCGGTTATGCTGATCCTTTTGATTTTCGGACTTCACTTGTGTGCGTACATTTTATTTTTATTTTGTTCCTTCTAATTAATTTGATCTATAGATATTTATGTGATTGTGTTGATAAATCGTGGATTACTGTATTTTTATTCTTCCATGTGATATGACATTTATTTTATGTATACTATTATCATGAGTTTCCTTACATTGATCATGTTTTGTGACTTATTTAATTCATGTGATAAATATGTTATTCTGATGTGATATTTATTATTGTTTGTATTATAATTTTCTATTATTGCATATTCATATTCTATCATGTTATGATCATTTCTATGTTCAGTTATTTGCATGTCTAGTATAAAATAAATTTTGGGAAAATTTTTTTGTAAAAATTACACCCTACAATAAGAGTTTATATCTAAATTTTGGATTTTCATAAAAAATTAAAAATTTATTAAAATTTAGTGTGATTTAATAATAGAGAGAAAAAGATAAATGTGACATGAACATTCATTAAACTCACTAATAATTGTCCTCTAAATATACTTAATTACTCTTATATATAAGGATTCTTAAACACCTAAACTAAAATTGACTACATATAAAATTAATTCATCAATATATAAAATTTAATAATTATTCAATTCAAATAATTTAATTCTTAGTTAGTAACTTTTGAATTAAGTTAGGAAACAATTAATAATTTGACTTAGAAAACACTTAGAATTCAAAATCATTAAAGAAAAGCTTAATCAATATAGTAATCCTCAATAAAAGTTAAAAGAAAAAGGAAAATAAATCAAAAGAGAGAGAAAAATAAAAAAGACTCAAGTTTATAAAGAGATAAACTTAAGAACTTTAAGTATTGAATTACTTGAAGGCAAGTAACATTTAAGTTTCAAAAATTTTGATGTGTAGAAAATATGTGTTATTTCTTATATGTTTTTCAATTATTTATATAAGTTTATACTTTTCCAGGATATATTTATGTGTACTGCACTTTATAAGTTGAAAGTTAGCAAGGGGGAGCATATTGACCAAGTTTATGCTAAGTTCATATCAAGCGCCTCGATGCCCAATCCAAGCGCCTAGGCGCCAGACCTAGTACCTCATTCGGCTAGGACAACAGAGAGATTGAAAACCCATCAACTAGCCTTGGCGCTTAGGTGTTCAAATCAACCCCATCCAGCATGCATGAATGACAAACGAGGCAAAAACCCAGTGCTCTATCTTGGCACCTAAGCGCCCTAACCAGAAAACCCAACGCTACCCTTTCGCACCTAGGCGTCTGAAGAGGAATTTCCTACATGCTTGAAACCGAGGGCGTGGCAACCCATCGCCCCTGCATAGCACTTATGCGCCCATAATTGACCTTTAATAGTTTGCATGGTTTCGACAAGATTTTGTGATAAATAGCATCCATTCGAAGGAGAAGGAGCTTTCTTCTAGTGTTTTTCCTTATTTAATTACTGTGCGAATGAAGTGAGGTATTGGGAGTATGTGGGTGTGAGCATTTTTAGAGAGTTTAGTGAGTTTTCTACATTTTGAGTGTGTGAGAGAGTAAATCCATGTGGAAATCATTGTACAAGGAAAGATTAAAATGGAGCAAATCAAGATTTCTCTTAGGTTAAATTGTTCTTTTTTGATAAACAATTTCAATTTGATTTTCAAAAAAAATTATTTTAGTTTCTCTCAACATGTCTAGAAACTAATTACTCTATACTTCTTTGATTTAGATATATGATAAATCGTATTCTTTCCGTGAGGTTTTTTTAAGATTTTATGGCGTTTTATTGCATGTTGGTGTGTTATCTTTTTAATCTTAATTTACTTTCGATCTGGTCAATTGAAATGTTAAAACTCTTTGTGATCTAAAACTACTGACTGTAGGCTAGAAGAAAAAGTAAGAAAATACTAAATCACTTACTAGAATAAGAATATTGTCAATAGAAGATTGTAAGCACATAGCAAAATGGAGAAATCCTAGAAGATTTTGCAAAATTACTCAAAACTTAACTAATTTTTTAGTTTTCAATGTTTCTTATGTCTGGCAATACAATAAGGAGTATTTGTCTCTGGTTGCCAACATTTAGTTTGGAAATTCTTTGGAAGAGTACCAATGATTCACAGGATTTAATTCAAAGAAGCATATTTATCACATTATAAGACACAATTTTGTAGATTTAACTTTTAACAAAATTAAATTTTAGATACATTTAAGTTTCACAACCTTTCAACCATTCAAATTAAACCTAGTAGAAGTATACTAGAAATTTCACATTTTTGGAAAATTGTTGTGTGCTCTGTGGGATCGACACACGGACTCTTAGATTCATATACTACTTGATCAACACATATACTTATGTGGTTTATTCATGCTTCACTGCATCGCGGATCAGTTGATTCATTTGCTCCTATTTGACTTCAATAAGTGTTAGTAAGAGTTAAACTTACCCAAAGAATCTTCACCTACTCTTAGAGTTGTTCCTTATTAGTTGTTATGCACTACTTTAAGAGGTATCATCAAAGTAATTCAATGAGGATAGAAAAATGATAGTCATAATAGACAATCTAAAAGTTCAATGAAATAAGAAAGATGGTTGAGAAAAGAGTTTGCTTAAGAAAATAACAAAGAAAAAGAAAATATCAAAATAAAAAGAACAATGTAGCATGTTTCATATCAATTTTATTTAGGAAATACAACCTTTTGCCATAATCATTGCTTGTTTCCACCCTAACATTAAAAGTATTCCCGACATTTAACAATCACAGCCATGTACCCACAAAAAAGAAATGTCCACGGACAAACAATGTTAACCAAAGTAGAGACACCCACACTTTATTATTTCTCGTTTTATCCCATGCCTATTGCTCAACCAAGAAAGGCATCGTTTAAGGCATGGATGAGTTGTTGCACGAGAAATGAGGTGTCGTTGAAATAATGTTCATATCAATATAGAATACCTTCAATAGCAAAGATATTAATATTATCTTCTAAATGGTACATTTGACTCAATATGATCAGCCAAATTTTCTATATACAAGTGAGTGGTCAAATAACTTGAGAAATAGATGACTATTGATTCAAAAAATTAGTGTTGAAACATTACAAAATGTGAGAAAATCGAGTAATTAACATTACTTAGAACATAACATGACAATAAATGTTAGGGAAGCATCAAAATTCCACAAATGCTTTCTTCGGTCTAAAGGAAAATGAATGAATTAAAAATAAAATCCCAATAACTAAAGCATTCATTACGAATCACCAACCATTGTTTTAAACTTTTCAAACCCTTTATTTATTTTCTTCACTAAAAGTTTTAGTATCCAAAGACAAGGTAAAAGATTATGCATTTAGCACCAAGAAAAAAGCATGTTCCTTCCTTTATGTGAACATTTTCAATAAAGCTCATTACTAAATTTTCTAACATTTTTTAATGTTTCAGCACTAATTTATTGAATCAACAGTCTGAAGGAAAAAGAATGAAGATAAATGGTAGGGAAACATTAATATTCCACAGATGCTTTCTTTGGTCGGAACGAAAATGAATGAATTGAAATAAAATCCCAATAATTAATGCATTCCTTATGAATCACCAACCATTGTTTTAATCTTTTCAAACCCTTTATTTAATTCCTTCATTAAAAGTTTTAGTATCCAAAGACAGGCACAGGATTATGCATTTAGCACCAAGAAAAAAGTATGATCCTTCCTTTATGTGAAAATTTTCAATAAGGCTCATCAAAGTGTAGTTTTATTTGAATGTTATATACCCATGGAACTTCTAAAAAAGTTGCATATTGTTAGTGTAATGTCATGAAATGTTATTACAAAATTTTGGGCATTTAGTTTGCTTTTATTTTTAGATAACAAACTAAGAAATTACTTCTATATTTTTGCAAATATCTAGAAGTCACTCAAAATTTGAAAAAATAATACATGTCAAGCCATCTTTTATTTTTATGACTTATATGCCTGGATTGCATATTTTGCTTTCGTCTTTGTGTTTATCGAACAGCCAAAGTTGAAGATAAGCATGTTGCCTGCTTTGTAGTATCCATCAACTAGTTGATGAAGGCGTACATATCTCCTTCCATGTCCATTCCACTACTCTATCTCCTTCAGCAAGAATTCTTCAAGCACAGGGGATGTTGGTCATTAAAACAAGACTAAAGTAACCATTTGAAGATATATACTTTCAATTGCTAAGTGTTAACAAGTGAAAAAAAAGGGCAAAAATATTAACAATTCTTGATGGAGCAACACAGATCTATCACGTTCAGAAAGCCGGCTATTTTCTTTACAAATCCCTCACATGCTATGAGAATCATTAGAAACCTACATTTGTAATCAAGCTTAACTTTTAAATCATGTTTATCTAGCTAAAGCATTATAAGTTGGTCAAAATTTTACTTCAAAACTATCATTGTTGGCTCATTATTTACATTCTTCTACTAGAATAACTAGTTCTATAACCTGTGTAAATAACAAGGGTAATTGTGAACAACACATTATAGGATAATAGTTAGGGGTTAGATTTAATAGTTGTATTTTAACTCAAAAGATAATACTATGGCAATCGGTTATTTGCTCAGAAAATAATCATATCTTTAGAGAAAAAAAATTTAATTAAATGCATGGTGCTTGAGAGATAGACCTTTATACAATGGTTAAAAACCAAACAACCACCATGGAGCTTTTAACATCCCCTTCTTGCGTGAAAAAGACTCTTTCATCAGAGTAATAAATATAACAGCCATTGCTGATTATGTGGTTACCTTTGTAGTAAGCCGGTAAGCCCCATTTTTCAACCAGACACCGCTCCGCACGAAGCGATCGCTCTGACAGATCTGCCGCATGGTGCAAATCGCCAAGCCAATGGCGAGGTCCGCGACGTCCTCCGTAAGAACGTCGGGGGTGTTGGTAACCCTAATTCCCTTCTCCCTGCACTTATCGAGGTCGATCTTGTCGAGCCCCACGCTGAAGGTTGCAACGATCTCCAGCGCCGGCAGAGCGTCGATCATATCTGCGTCGGCTCCCATCACGGAGTTCCCCACCACCGCCCGTATCTCGCCGGAGTTAGCCCGGAGAAATTCCTTACGCTTTTCGGGAGGCGAATCCCAGAGACGGAAGAGCTTGAACCGCCGGCCTAGCTCCTCCTCCAGATAGGAGTCCATTGGATTCGTGAAAAGAACGCCGAGGGATTCCATTTTAGGAAGAGTTGAGCTAGGGTTTAGTGGGGTTTAGGGTTTTCGTCCCCCAGTTTATCGTTGATCGTTGACGATAACCTGAGGAAATGACAAAAGAAATTAAATTAAATACACTAGGGACGGAACGAGGAATCAGCTGTTGAGATAAAACAGCGAACAGGATTAAGATCCAATAGGAATTATGAATAAGGGCGTGTGGCCAGTTAATTTGTCTTTCTATATTCGGTCGGGTGTCAAAAATTTATTCGGCACACGCACATGACTCGAATTCTACTTGAAAAAGCCCGAGTTATGATTGACCCGAATATTTTTCGAGTTGAGCTCGGGGCTGAGAATTCAATCTATTTATTATTTGGGTCGGATTCGGGTTAAACCAGAAAACCAAAACATGACCCGAATAAGCATGTGATTTCAAGTCGGGTTCAAATTTGCAAGTCAAGCTCTGGTTCGGGTTTAAGTTTTGACCCATTTATTACTCGGGTCAAGTCATTTTTGGGTCAAACCCAAATTGAACCCGTTGACCCGACTTGACACCTTATGATGCCATATAACCAACCACGCATTGTCAATACTATATTTCATTGGTGAATCATTGAATACTATATGTCATGAGTGAATTATTGAATACTATAGTTCATGGGTTGATAAATTGTTGAATACCAAATATTATGAGCAAATAGTGAATCACATTGTCAAGTAAAAATATATGGATAGTTTGCATGTAAAGATTATTGAGCTCTCATGGGAGAATTAATCATTGACAAAGTCATTTTGTCATGGGTCAATTGTTCAATTGAACATGCCACTTATTAGTGTTTTTATCATATTGCTCATTCAACTCCTACACTCAGTCAGTCCCTTTGTTGCTCTCATACATTGGTAAGATATAGTCACCCTTATTGGGCTTCAACTTAGGCCAAAGACTTTTTTTCACATGGGTAATCATTCAATGCTATCATGCTCCTGATTATGATTTTTTTTTGTTTTTTTTTTTTTTTTGTAAAAAGGGGATTAAGACTTCAAGTTAGGATCCATCTGAGTAATGCAGCTCGTGTTGACAACTTTTGATACCTGGGGTGTGATGGGGATTTGTCTAAGAGAGATTGTATAGTCACATGTAACATTTGTGTGAAAGTTTATGTTCTATTTATACAAGAAGTTTCTATTGATTTCTTTTATGGTTGTTCCCCTAATGTGATTGTTAGTTTATTGAAGTTCATGTGTAGGTGAATTTGTCGAATATAATGAGTTGTCTAAAAATGAATATTAAGTGAGGGCTCCAAAAATTGACGATCGTTCCCCAGGACAACTCTCTACAATTCACTTTTATTTTTATTTTGAGAGAGCTTTGGAAGGTCGAATTTTCAAAAGGCATCTCATGATTCTATCAGCTCGGGTGGTCGTGATCCTTGATCTACTTAGTCGGAGAAAGTAGTCGACCCAACTTGATAGAAGGATTCTTGTCAGCATTCATGGTTTGAATCGTCCAAAAGATACTTGTAGATATGGGGTCGATATTTATCTAAGGGAACAAATTTAAGTAGATCTCGACTAACAGAATGTTTTATTTGAATCAATTGTACCCCTATAATTCACAATTCAAAAGGTAGAAAGTCATTAAGGAGTATACAGGTTGTGGTTGTAACCGTAATATAATTGTGTCATTTGGCGGCAACCACTTTGTCAGAGGGCTCTAGTTGTAACTATTATTTTGTGGTGTCATTTGGTGGCAAAACCAAGCGAACATAGGACTTGGGTCATATTCTTACTAGCATGCATTTATTTTGATTGTGAATATATTGATACATTTGATGTGGCATTAGCTCTTTATGAGTTGAAGTTAGTTGCCCTCAACAAACTGTTGTGGATGGTGAATGGAATTTGCTTTTAGCTTTAGTGATTTATTCTTAGCATGGATATTTTAATTATTTATTCTAAAAGTCCTGATTTAAAAGATTGACCCCTCCGGTTAAAATTTTCAATCAACACGATCATCATTGGGGTATTGAATATTTAAAACTTTTATATTTGAAGTGGGGACATTTATTTTTGTGAATTTAAGCTTTTCAAAGCATAAGTCTTGTCGACTAATATCTTTATAGGAAGAAGAATCAGATTAGGTGATTTGAACTTGTAAATTAGGATTTTGACATTTATTTCGAGATCGCTAGACTTGTCAACTTTAGTCCTTATGAGGAGAATGATCAAACTAGTTGGGTGGGACTTACAAACCTATCCTATAGAAAAGGAAACTCGATTAGTCTGCGTCACATTCTCAAACATAATATTTATAGCATTTAATATGTTGGTTGGAGCATATGCGGGCTTTACATTTCATGTATTTGGTTACTTCAAACAACTGTGTATGTCTTAAGGCAATTCACATAATTTTAAAGCATGAATTGAAAAAATAATTGCTTTAAAAATGAAACATATAAGATTAAAGTTATATGAATTTGTCTTATTTAAATGAATACATCAATGCATGCATATGTTCACTTTAAGCTATTTAAAATACCGTCTTCTATTCGCTTGCAAACATGTTGTGAATCCAGTGGCAGAACTGAACATACAAGTCATAGTTTAATATTTAAGAATAATATTTATATTTTTGAATTTAACTCCAATTTATGCGTTCATATTTGAGTCAATTTGCCAGCCCCTACGCTTGGACCCAACCAAGCTTAACTCAAATTTATGATATTTCATTATTATATCAAGTTCAAACACCAATTTATAGAATTTTGTACTCGATTTATATTTAGCCCCCAAATTGCAAAATTTAATATTCAATTTAAGTTCAGCCAACTAGTTTATGACATTTCATATTCAATTTAAGCTTAGCCCTTTTAATTTATGATATCTCATATTTTAGTCAAGCTTACACGCCTATCGTCTCCAATTTATGATCTTGCAAATTAAATTTAAGCTTAGCCGCTCCAATTTATTTATTTAAATATATTGCTTAAACATTCATTTACATTAAAACTTCAACTTTTATTTAATAATTTTCAATTATAATTAGGTTTGAAACTTTTAATTCAAGATTTATGTTTCTTTTTATTTATATATCGATTTAAAGTCAAAATAATTCAATTTCTTAAGAACATTTACAAGTCCAAAATCGCTTTAAATTTTGTCAGCCTCCGATATCAACCCCCATTTGAGAGCACGAGAGAATGACAACCTTCCTAGATATCTTAAAAGATGAGTTGGTAAGTGTGGAGAGACACTACAATCAAAGAACAAAAGTGTGAATTTAACCTGCGATCTTAAAAGTCTTAACGAGTCTTTTGAAGTACCTGCACAACAGGTTAAATCGCAAACCAACATTCTTCTAGTGATACTTTGTTTTCCTCACTGGTACTCAATTTCGCACAGACAGGTACTTAGTTACTTTTTCATGAACGAGCGATTTAAAATCCCCAATTTTAAAAGGTTTAAAAAAAAATTCCAAAAGAGTCCGTTGTTTTACCCGAACCATACTTAAATTCCCCATGAATGAGAATTCGTGCTTTATCGAGTGGATACTTTCAAAGAATTGCTCTACTGCCAGAAAATAATATCTTTGGGTGTTGATGGCTGCGATCTTCAATGGGGAGGATTGACGACAACACAGTAAAAGTACGACACAAGTTTCTTTTTTCTTATTTTACAATCTTACAACAAAAAGAAAGGATCGTGAACAGTAACAATGGCTCGGGTAGATGCTGCAGCTAGGTCTAACCAGATAAGACCACAGAACCAGGTAAGAAAGAAGTGTGCGTGACTTGTAATGTGAATGACAGCAAGCGAACAGGAACAGTGAAATGGAGAAGGCACAGACTTCCATGGAATCGGTTTGAGTGAGCAAAGGGAGTTGCGAGGAGCTTAGGTTGTGCGAAACGAGAGAGAGGAGCCCATGTCGTTGGCTTCTGCGCTGGGAGGCGAAGGTAATGGGAAGTCAATTATTTCTAAGTATAGGAACTCTGAACAGTAAATATTAGCAGAAGTACTAGAGGAATTATTCCACAAGTCATGCAACGCCTACATCTTTAACCCAACCATTCCCGCATTACAGCCAGAGCTCCTTATTCATTAAGTATGACAAGAGGGGAAAGGGGTAGGGGAAGGGAAGAGATAGGGAAGCAACGGTGGGTGGCCGGTTATCTGCTCGTGTGGAGCATCATCTAGGAACATAATATGATTTTTCTGCAGGGGTGAACATCCTCGAGTCTATGACTCTAAGCAATGCTGGTAACAATTAATACACTCCAACTGCTTGTGAAAATGTCAAGACAAAATCCCTTGGCCGCAACCTTGATAGACCGGGCGATCAACCTTTGAAAGTGGACAAGGAAGCAACCACACTTTGAAAAGCCATGAAATTTTGATTTACTTGGGGAATGCACCAAGATCAAAGGCCACTTTCAACAAGGGTCGAGCAATTAAAGACCTAAACATATCCAAACTGAAGCTGGCTTTGATCGAGACAACATCACTTGTGATAACACCAGAATGCTTCTTAATAAGGATGCCAATGATGCTAATCAAATGAAACTTGAAAAGGTAATCGTGGATAAGCTCCTTGGAAGGAAAATTCCCTTCTTGATTCTCAAATGTTAACTATATCGGAAATGGTCTCATTTAGGCAAATTCCACCTTTTCTTTGTTGATGTCGACTGATTTATCTACATTTTCGAATGTATTGAGGCTCAAGATGCGGTTCTAAAAGGTGGCCTTGGATCGTCTCAGGCTCAATTGTTGGAATCGACAAGTGGACTCCCAACCTTTCACTGACTTCCATGCAATGATTTACATCCCCAATATTAAACCTTTTTCATTCTTAATATATATTAAAATGAATAGAGCTTCTATTGCATTGTTATTGAAACCTTAGTTTATTAATCTACAATTCATATTCTCTAAACTCTTAC